TGCTTAATACCAGTTTTGAGTTTGCTTTAAGTAGACTGTTTTAATTGACGATCAGATTTCAGAGTTTGTTTTACACTTAGCTGTTATTAGTCATTTAACCTGCTTGAGTATTCCCTCTGCTTGTTTGTGAAGAGATTACAGAGGGATACTGTATTTTAGGAAGGGTGTATAAAGATACTTCTCACAACTGAGAAAAACTAGAAAAGACAGTGATTGGCATTGAAGGCAGAGTAGAGAAATCTTTCCTTTTTCTCTGTTCACTGGAAAATTGAAGCATCTGACTAGAGTTTCTAGCCTACTTACACAGACAGAGACCTGTCTGCAGGTCTCGGTGTCCTCAGGCAGTTTCCTGAATTTAGAGGTAATGCAGGAAGGAACGTTACTGTGAGAGCTTTACTCATCGCCCTGCTCTTGTTGACTAGTTGGCCTCCATAAGCCAAAGTCAGCGGCCTTGCTGTCACCTTCACTCTGCTGTTGCTGTAGGCTGTGGGCTGCCATGCAGCTGGGGTTGTGTGATGATTTTGTTCTTGTCTTGATTCTAATAAGGGTGATTATTACACCATTATGCACATGTGATTGGGACTAGCATAGTTCATTCTTTAATTTTGGGGTTTTCTCCCCTGTCTGGCTGCATATTCTCTTTGCAAAGGATATTAAGTTTAATATCTTATAAGGCACCTTGAGAACCCTGTTTTTAGTACATATCTATCCTTTGACTCATATCATCTCATGAATTACTTTTACTCAATGTCAGTTTTAAAATATTGTTGTACATATTTAACTGGATGTGTGTGTGTATGATTATGTTTGTGTATATGTACATGTAAAGAAAACTTCATGTATAATTTCTGTTTCCTGTTAAGAGAAAATGTAGGATTTACTCTCTTTTAATTTACTCTCTACATCTTACATTTCTTTTACCTCAGAAAGGAATTAAACCTGACATACAACACCCTATTTTTCTGGGAATAATCCATTTCTGGCACTATCGGAAGACAGTCTGTGTAGAAGGGTAGCTTCAGTGGTGAGGATACCAAGCATCTACCAAGGATAATTAGTGATTTAGGGTTTGGATGGCCAGAAAGGGTTCAGAGTGCTGATGAAGGACTTGGCTTGCTCATGACCACTGCAGATTTACTATGAGGTACCATAAGCCACTCAGGACTATCCTAGTACTTATTTCTCAAAGCTTTTTTGGTGAGAGAGTACTTGAGAAAAAACAAAGCTGTGATGGCTTTCTCCAGGAGCTGTTTGCTAGTTGGGAGCATAACAAAGATGTCTTCTCTGCTGCTTTTACAGAGGGGAAAAAAACAGCAGCAAACTTTTAATTAAAGCAAATGTTTTTAGAACTCTACTGAAAAAAAAATAGTTTTGTGAATGAACTTTCAATATTATCCATTTTAATAGTATGTGGTATATCCACACAAATCTAAATCTAAATCCCTTTTTCCTTGCTTGAATTATCTTTCCTACTTTTCTCAGTTGGTCAAAAGAATGTGGTTGAATGAATTCTAGCTCATTGTTGGCAGGTGTACACAGCAAAGCTTCATTTTGTGACACAGAAGCCTTTAGACAGCAGCCAAGGAGCAAATTTTTGTAATGCATAGTGCTTTCATAGTTAACTGCCTAGTGAAATTATAGCAACTTTGCATGCCAACCTTTTTAAGCACATCGATTTCTTTAATAAGGGTAATTATTGTAATCCATTGCACTTAAATAGAATTATACATCTTGGGAAATGACACATGAAGCACCTCAAAGGCACATTAGACTCAGGAAATGGGAACTTTCTCCTCAGTGTAAGTTTTATGAGAAAACAGAATGTTTCTGTTTTCACTGCTATGACATAAGACCTTTCCTGAACATTAATATCACTTATAAAGCAATGACATAATTATTATTTCCTATTAGTAAATATGACAGGAACCCACTGATTTTCTGGATATCAAAGCACCTCAAAGGCACATTAGACTCAGGAAATGGGAACTTTCTCCTCAGTGTAAGTTTTATGAGAAAACAGAATGTTTCTGTTTTCACTGCTATGACATAAGACCTTTCCTGAACATTAATATCACTTATAAAGCAATGACATAATTATTATTTCCTATTAGTAAATATGACAGGAACCCACTGATTTTCTGGATATCATTCTTGAAAAATGGATCATTGGAATAGCTGTTCTGCAAATTATAGCAACTTTGCATGCCAACCTTTTTAAGCACATCGATTTCTTTAATAAGGGTAATTATTGTAATCCATTGCACTTAAATAGAATTATACATCTTGGGAAATGACACATGAAGCACCTCAAAGGCACATTAGACTCAGGAAATGGGAACTTTCTCCTCAGTGTAAGTTTTATGAGAAAACAGAATGTTTCTGTTTTCACTGCTATGACATAAGACCTTTCCTGAACATTAATATCACTTATAAAGCAATGACATAATTATTATTTCCTATTAGTAAATATGACAGGAACCCACTGATTTTCTGGATATCATTCTTGAAAAATGGATCATTGGAATAGGTTGTTCTGCAAGCAGTAAAAATATTACTTCCCCTATCAGTCTGTGCTGTGCAAATGAGCTCCTTGTGAAATAACAGAGATTCAGTAATGACTTATACTACAGTCTTTCCCCACAGGGGCGTTCATAAGATCTCTCTCCAGGGATCTGTTTTCAAAACAGTTTTAGAAACTAAATAGCTCTAGTTTTCTACTCCTGTGTCAAATTTGAACTGATTTTAAAAAATATTGAAAAGAGAGACTGGACAGACAACAGTCACATTAATCATATTTCTTTAGAAAACTTGGGTTAAAAATAGCATTACTGGATAAGGGGCTCTAATTTTCTGATTCCTAGAAGAATTTTGCATAAGATAAAGTTGAAGACACTAGCTCTTCCCAACATTGTTCTTCCTAGATCTCTCTAGTATTTCTTACATGCAAGATAGTGTTGAAATTTAGAACTAGTTTCTGTGGCATCTCCTTTCTGTAAAACAATCCCTAAAGGTGTTTGAAAGAAAATACAGCATGTCATGTTATCATCTGACAAGTAAGTTATCATAGTGCTAAAAAGCCCCAGAAATACAGATCCTCTTTTTCTTTCTTCCCTGCCTTCCTCTTTACCCGCATCCTATCCCACTCTTTTCTTAGTGTTAAATGTACCAATGTCAGTCAGTGTGAACTAACATATACCAACAAAGAGAGTTAAAAAAGGATAAGAGAAAAATTTTTAGGTTATCACTGTGTTCCAGTCTTTTGTTATCGTCTGTCAAGGCAAGGCCACTACGGTGCTCTCTCAGCTTTGTTTTGTGCCTCTCCATCTCCTGATCCAAACTCTCATTCATATTTTCCCTTATAACTTCCTTCAGAAGCACACCCAACGTTTTTTGACTTAATGGCAGAGGTCCACTTCTATAAAATAGCTCTTATGTTTTCCTCTGTGTTGTGTCTTAACTCCAAGCGTTTTGCGCCTTCATGCACATGCAGCTGTCAACTAAAGGGCAAAGCACTTTATGGGTACCTCTCCAATATCTTAAATAGTTGCAGTGTTGTTCCAAATCTGATGCCTCATCCCATTTCCCCTTGAGTGAGTGGGAAGAGACCCAGTGATCCCTTTGCTTTCGAGAGCACTGCATTAACTCCATAGGTAAGTTTTGTGTGACAGAACATGTGTTATAAAAACTTCATAAAGAAGCAATACAACCTTCCTTTTTTGAAATAGATTCAGGCCATTATAGGTAAGGGGAAAAGAATGTGGCTATACCTGCTAAAATTTACTCTAGAGCCATTTGCTGAACGGTAAAGCTCTAGGAATAGCCTTTGCATGTTTTTGAAAATCTGTTTAAAAAGCAAAAATATTCTTTGTTCGTCTTTATATACTGGTGATTTAACACAAAAATAATTTCCCCTGGTTTTCAGAAATATTGCACTGTTTTGTGGATTGTCTAAGACTGTATCTAGTGGGGAGTTTTTAGCGAGATGCACTGTACTGAACAGAATAATAAAGGTCTGAATTCTGTGCAAGAACTTCACTGCAATAGAAATATTCTCTATGTATTCTCAAGCCCACATGTGCTCCAGTTTCCAGGTCTGGATGTTTGTCCAGACACCTACCAGTTAGATGTCAGGGCAAAATTTGGATAGGTACTGCTGTCATCACTGTAGATTGTGATTTCTGTGCAAAGCAAAGGTCCCTTAGTCTGGACCACTGGGACACCAGGTCCCTCTGGGGCATGTTGTGAAATGCTGCAGCAGATAATTTAGACACAGCCATGTAAAGTGTGTAGAAACAGTCTATAAATGAGTACAAAAGGTATATTAGAATTAAATTCCACTTAGCAGTAATGATGATCTAAGTCACATAGCAGCCAAGTGTTGTATGAAATACATATAATACATGTATTTGTTGCTGAAGAGAGGGAGCAAAAAACCTACGGCTGTTCATTACTGTGTAATTTCATCAAAATCATAGGATGACTGAGCTAAACCAGATTACTGAAAACATCCTTGATATGCCTGGATGTTTAGAAACCAAAGCTTCAGACTGATATCCTTTCATTCCACTCAGTAATGAGTCAAGTATCTGTTTCCCAAAGGAATATAGATTATTTGTGTGTGTGTATGTACGTGAGAAGAAAAGGGGCAGAGCACTGATTGCAGAACTTAAATTTTCCTAGCAAAAAATGTATATACGGTATACTGATGTATTAATTATTTTATGTGCTTTTGCTGGTAATGTATTTTAAGACAATCAGTAAATAAGAGCTTATTATTTAAAACAAAATTTTGATGAGTCAAGTATGTTTACAGGAGATCAAACAGGAACCTAGAATTAAAATTGCTCCTTTTCACCTCTCAAAAACCAAACCCTACCTGTGTGAATTAGCTGCTTTTACCCTCCAGTCTCCCAAAACCTTCCATCTGAAACCTGTCCTTTTCTGTCTTCCCTTTTTTACTCTTCTTTGTCTGCATTGTTTATCCATCCACTGGCTGACAGTGTCTTTACATCCAAAATGCAAAGCAGACAGATGGGCGCCTCAGGAAAGAACATGACTAAGAGCACCAGCATCGGCGGGGACATGTACACACTGGAGAAGAATGATGGCAGCCAGTCGGACACAGCAGTGGGCACTGTTGGCGGTGGCGGCAAAAAGAGACGCTCCAGCATCGGTGCAAAGATGGTCGCCATCGTGGGTCTCTCGCGAAAAAGCCGTAGCACGTCACAACTCAGCCAAACTGGTAGGAACTGGATTTTTTTCCCCTCTCAAAGTATCATTTAAATGTACATAATGTGTATGTATTACTGTTTAATCATTTGGATATCCTGTTGAAGTTGCCTAATCAACAATATTCTACGGAATGAAGAAAATGGTCAAGCATCTTTTTTCTCTAGACATTTACTAAACTATTTTTTTTTTAGCAAAGATCCTTTTCAGGTTGGACTGAGGCTTTTATTTTCTGCTTGCTGGAACCTGTTTAATGCACTAATTCCTTGCTTCTCAGGAGCCAACATGAGCTGCTGTACTTCTGTTTGGGGAGAATCCTTACCCTTGTTTGTGAAGGGTCGCTGAAATGTTGCAAAATTCCTTTGGTTTTATCACAAATAGTGTTTGTGTATTTCAATATGGTGGTTTTTTCACATTTGAACACGCAACCTTATTTTGAAATGAAACAATTTTCCTGAACAAAATATGTTACATTTTATTGCTTTAGTACAACTGTTTTATTGCTTTTTAATTAATTTCTTTTCAGCCTACAAGCATATTCACCATCAGCATAAATTTTCCTCATTTCTGTTTATCTCAATTAAAATTTGATACTGAAATATTCTACCTAGGAAAAATGGAGAGTTTTTCTGCTTTGATGCCTAAAGCATTTAAAATCTTATGCATTTTTTTGTATTCCTCCTATTTCAGAGAAAATCCATATAATGCACTCTGAAAAGCTCTCATTGTCAGTTAAGGAAGCTGTATAGGACAAGTGTATTTCACATGAAAAAGATTATTTTTATTTAAATGACATATATATAAAAAGTGTTTAAGCAATTTATATAGTTATGTACATATATACATTTATATATTTCAAGGTATATACATAAGGTTTACTGTATGTTCAGTATTTAAGCAAAACTGTTGTAACATTGTCATATGGTTCAACATAAGTTTATAGTGTCAGCTGTGTGGTGGTCCCATCTGAAGGTCTCCATTGTGCTAATGGTCTCCATTCAAACACTGATAAGAGATTTTTCAGTTCTCTGGAAAGTTTGCAGTTTATGTCGTGAAACCAAAGTGATAAGAGTTTTAATGTACAAGTAAATGGAGCAAAACAATGATTTGCAATGTCAGAAACTGTGGTAAATTTTGTAAGTAAACTTTTGTAGGAAGGGGATTTAAAGTACCTGGAAAGAGTAGTATTTAAGCAAAACTGTTGTAACTTTGTCATATGGTTCAACATAAGTTTATAGTGTTCAGCTGTGTGTGGTCCCATCTGAAGGTCTCCATTGTGCTAATGGTCTCCATTCAAACACTGATAAGAGATTTTTCAGTTCTCTGGAAAGTTTGCAGTTTATGTCGTGAAACCAAAGTGATAAGAATTTTAAATTACAAGTAAATGGAGCAAAACAATGATTTGCAATGTCAGAAACTGTGGTAAATTTTGTAAGTAAACTTTTGTAGGAAGGGGATTTAAAGTACCTGGAAAGAGTAGAAGTAAAAAAGAGGGGAAAGGAAGGGTAAGCAAGAGGGGTAACTGCAGAAGAAGGAGGAGCACAGAAAGAGAGCAGGGAGCTTGAGTGTGCGTCTTACTGAATGCGATATGAGACAAGAGAGAATGAAGAAGAAGAGGGGAAAGAACGTATATAGAGAAAGCTCTGAATATCACCAGACACTGATGACTCCCTCAGTAGGCAAGTCTTTGCAGCAGTCTCATATTTTACCAACTCACTTGCAGGTTATGGAGCTGGCAGTTTCATATACGTTTCTATTTTCTCTGAGTTCAAATGAATGCGAGGCAAAAGATGAAGTCATCTTTATACAGATCTGGACAGCGAAAGATGAAGTCATCTTTATACAGATCTGGGAAGCATCTGGTTGGGCAAGAAAAAAGCTTAGCCACTTGCTCACCTAGAAATCTAAATTTTACTCATGTGATAGTACACAGGTATGTAACTGTATTGATGTATTTGGATATCAAGTCAAATACAATGCACTACATTACTAGTTCTGATCTAATCTGGTCTCTTACTGTAAGGGATATTAAATGAAGGGTGTCAGCTCTTTGTATGCTGTTCAAGTATGTCTCAGCACTAGAGAGAATCTGTATTGTGTGGCTTGCCTAGATTTGATTTAAATACCACACTGTCTTAGTTATTTGGGACTTTTAATCTGAAGTTTTTCTATTATATCCAATCAGTTGCCCAACAACTGATTAGATGCTCAAGTCAGGGACAAATGTGAAATGTAACTCTTTCAAAAGTACTCAAGGTCTCTTGACCCCATTGACTGTGAATGGGGTGTTCTGAAAAACTCTTGAATAAGGCGCTGTATTTCAGTGCTGTTAGAGGTGCAGCAGAAACCAGGGGAGCCTGCACGGCTCTGGCCGGCAGCCCTTCTCCCTCGGCTGCTCCCTGGGAGAGGTCTGTGCTCAGCGCTGGCCTGCACCCGGCCCAGATGAGAGCAGCCAGTGCACCTCCTGCTGCCACCTTCTGAAAATGCCCCTCGTGTATCGGTTGGATAGGGGTTGTTTTGTGCAGCTGTTACCGCACACCAGCTCCTGCTGCCCTATTTGACAGCACTCCTGAGGGGCCTTGTCTGGTGGCCACATGCGGCTGCACCTAACAGGACAGGCACGTGCATTGTTTAAATAGTTGAGTCATGCAAGCATGCTGGTCATGCGGTGAGCACATGTAAGCCCCTGGATGAAGTGTGTGTCTCCAGTGCTACAAGGTGATGGCCTGTTGGGTGGGTGAGGTCACATCATGAAGAAGTGTCTTGCATGTCTTAAGTGTCCATCAGCACATCTTAAAGAAAACGTTGGACAGCAGTGCTATACATGAATGCCAGAGGTTTAAAACTTGCAGTTAATGTGTTTAATGAATTTATAAATTTCCCTGGTTTATCTCACCATGGTCCTCTTTTCAGATGGTAAGTGCCTGCACAAGGAATTGTGTATTGGTACAAGCATTGATACAAGGGCTGGGATCAAAACACTAACGTGCTGTAGACGTCCTGTAAGTACAGTTTTCTGGAACTGAGAGGCAGGGGATACTCAGGTGGCAAGGCACTGGTACGACATAGAAACTGATCAAAGTATAAAGGGTTCTTAGGTAGTTTCTGAAGAAATTATGTCATTCAATTGATCAGCTAAATACCTCCTTACATATCAGGCTTGAAAAAGCATGCCGACGTCATGAGATAACAATACTACTATAGAAAGTTGTGATCATATTTATAGCAACTAGGCTTTTATAAACTGTGTGCTCATATGGAAGTCTTTTTTCAAGTGTTTTGTAATGCATAATTGTATTTCAGTGGTTTTCTTCATTCATATTTTATAACTAAATCTATGCCAGAAGTTTTTTTGAAAGTAGGTCATCATAACTGCTTTCAGGACTGTGAATCATGCTTACCATAAATGCCTTAAAAGGTTCATTTTTACTGTCTTTTCAAATTAATTTCATGTTATTTCTTGTTATTTGGCATAGTATTAAGAAATTGACACTCAAAATACATACAACGAAGTTTTTTATTCTGGTCTGTAATTCTTTTAGTGTACTCAGTTAGGAACAGTTGTTTGGGTTTTTGTGGGTAAAGGGTATGTTGATTTGTTGTTATAGGTGGGAGTAAAAGGAGTAATTGTAATAATAAATTTATTACCTAACAATGGTATTTTGATTTCATTCAACTATGGCTAGTGTAAATTCTGTGTTGGAAGGCTTCCATTCCAGAGAGAGAACTGACTACACCTGAAATATGAGAAAAACCTGAATAAGCAATGCTCTTTTCTCCTCAGACATATACAGTCTTCAATGCTTAGAAAATTGCTAATCCGGTAACTCTGCTGACGAAGGGTAATTTATGAGAGTAAAAGAATAACTCAAGACTTTGAAAAGATCTGACCTCATTAACATAGGCACTAGGAACTGATCTTTTCAGATTATCATAGCAAGAGAATCCAAGTGTGTTGGATATCCATTACATGAGAAGATTTTAAGTGGTGCTCTGTGGATCACTATTGTTATGGGAAAAGAGCAGAAAAAATGCCAGTGTTAAGGCCATGGAAATACAGAAAACATGAATAAAAATAGATGAGACTCACTCTCTGGTTTCGATTTGGGCTTAAAGGAGAGCTGTAATTTATTTTTTAAAAGTTCATACTCCTTTTAGCAATGTGTATCACTGCTGTGATATTTCTTTCCTATTATTTGATTTAATTTTTAAGTGTGAGGATATACAGGATCAGTATTTTGTGAACTGATTTGATGTATTTCAAAGCAGCTTAAAAAAAAAAAAAAGAATCTGGAAATTCCTGCAATTTCTTTAACCTTGGAATCAAGCTAATGGTTGGATGACACAAAAGTAATTTTACTTATGGTAACTTTTACTTAAGATAAGACTTTACTAAAAGACAAGATACTATAGAGTGGCAAGGTAAATCAGAATTGATTTTAGTGCTGGTTCCTGTAACTTTTCAGTGCTACAAAAAATAGCTAAAGGAATACTCCCTACACTTGAGTCAAGCAATTATTCCTAGAAGCTAACAGTTGGCGGGTTAGAAAGAGTTTATGTTGTAACCTTCAGATCCTGATTCCACAGGCATTCTTCCTAGTGGAAAAGCTAGCTTTCTTTACAGAGGAAAATAAAATACAAAATGCAAATCCCAAGCAGCATCTTATCAGTGTTTGCTTAGCTATTCCTATCTGGAATGCAGTCCTTCTCCTGCTGGACAGCCCTGAGGGAACTGATGAGCAGGCTTCCATACAGGTGCAGACCTGTAACTCTGTTATATTTCATTAATGAGTGAATTCTTTGCCCTCTTCTGATTACACGACGTTAGATCTCCCTTTCAACTTACATGCACTGTCTCTGGCAGGTGGCTACCTGGGTGTCTTAACTTTCCTTATTTAGCTGACATTTCTCCTTTAGCTGGGAAAATGTTTTGTCTTTTCTTTAGTTAGCCAAGACCTACTGTGTTTGTAGGCTGATTATATCCAAAAGCCTAAGCAGTTTAATTTATGTTTT